TCTAGATGTCAGACCTATTTGCTCTCTCAGGCCTCGGCAGGAGAGTTTGAATTCTAAAGAAAACGAGAAAGGAATTTCTTCAGTAGAGAATTTTTCCTTCTTCTTCTTCTCCTTTTATGTGTGTCTTTTTCTTTTCCTTTTTGACTTTCACTTTTACTTTTTACTCTGTCTTTATGTCTTTGCTTCCTTCTCTTTTCTTCTTCTTCTTCCTTCTTCTTCTTCTTCTTCTTCTTCTTCTTCTTCTTCTTCTTCTTCTTCTTCTTCTTCTTCTTCTTCTTCTTCTTCTTCCTCCTCCTCTTTCTCCTCCTCCACCTCCTCCTCATCTTCATCTTCATTTACTTCTTTTTCTTCTTTATTTTTGAGCCATGAATCCTTTTGGAGTTGGCAATTGGAGGTGATGAATTAGAGAAGAGGAAAGGTAGAGGATACTGAAAGAGTAACAAGTTAAAAACCACAACAGAAAATTTTAGTTATCTCAGGTACTTTTTAATAAAACATATACATTTACCAGGGGGTCATCCCATTCATTTTTAAAGATTTTTCATAGGAAAAGAAAGGGAGGAAATACAATTGTACGTTGTTCAGTCATTAGTCATCTTATTGCTTACACTACAGTATAAATTGCATCAGGTTTAGTTCTGGTTTAGTTTTGCAACAATGTTCAGGTTAGCCGTTGTTGACAGACATGCTTAAGGAAGGTGAACAAGAGGTGCAAATATCAGTCTATCTATTTTCCTTTACTCTCGCTATTTCACTTTTGTCATACCATACACCAGATCTGCTGTTATCAAAATTTTTGCAATTTCATTTTTCCGATGCTACCCTACTATCTCCTTTGGCATTCTTTTAGTGTTGTAAATATTGCTCACAGATCAACTTTTGATTACCTGATACTTCCCCTTGAATTAGATCAAATGTTAGTGAGGGAAATCAAGACCCAATCAGTGTTAATTAATTTTTATAGGAGACTGTAAATTGGATTCACTATTTTAAGTCTTTTTTTTTTCCCCTCCATCAGTTCATCCCAATGAGATTGATTGTTAAGCCTTATATGGCAGAACCCTATCTATATGTTCCTCCAAAAAGCCCTTTGACTAGGGTTTTAAAAGGTAGTCTTTCACTGATACAGAAGCCTCAGCTACATCCACTCATATTAAAGATTCTGAATTGAGAAGTGCTTGTTGTAGGGTTTTACTGTATAACTGCTCACAGATGTAATTTTTTTTTTTATGTGCATGGTTAAGAAAGTTGAGTTAGTTTTGTCAATGTCCTTTATTGAAATTCCAGCCCATTCACTATTGGAGTTTTTGAAGTATATGGTAAAGCAAGAGATCTTAATGCCAAAATCCAGTCATTATTCATGGGTATTTCATTACACCCATGAGAGTCCAAGGAAGCATAAATTTATACAGTCACCCAGTAAATTCTTTCTCTCTTTTTTTTTTCTTCAAAGTCATGAACATTCATATTGGTCGGGCTCTCTTGCTCTTATGATTTCCCTGAAGGTCACTAACACAAAATGTTTTCTTCCATCTTAGCCGGATAAGGTAGGGAGAGCATCGAGTTTTGTACAGTAGTTGATATATAAGCCTTGATGAGGATTTAATTTAATTTCAAGTTGATTTAGATCCCCATTGCATGCAGTGCACGTGAAAATGTGCAGACATTTACTCCAACACTTGACTGTTGTTAATCATGTCGTGTACACTCAACACAGAAGTTGTAGGAATCAGTTTAACAAAAATTATATTTGTAGTTATTACATTTCCTTCAAACTTAGGGCATTTTGTTTTGTTAAGTAATTGTAGATGTTATGGCTGTGTTGAATTTCTATATCTTTGTACAGAAACACCCATAATGCTATTCATTCATGCATAGTGGAAACAACTGATTTCATACTCGTTGTGAGATTATTAAGGTTTGTGATTCATGTGACTAATGAAAATAAGGTTTAAAGTATGGATTTTTAACTTTACTATTTAGTGTAGACTTCATGATAAAAAGGTGGATTAAAATAGAGATAGCCACTGGTAACAAGGAATGCAGTTTTCCTATACTTACATAGAATTCCATCAATTGCAAAAGTACTTAACTGTGTTTAAAGGAAACAGACTCAACCATTTAAAGAGTATCAAATTAGGTTACTGCTGTTGGGGTTTTAATCCTATGATGTATATATATATTAAACTGTTATGTAGTTAGATAAGTGTATAAACTTAAGATGAAAGCTTATATATTTTCCTTACATTTTTAGTAATAGAAAAGAAGTTTTGTCCCTCTTATCAAGAGACATATCCATTATCTCTCTTTGTTGGGACTTTTAATAGCCTATGGGTGTTTGCTTAAACTACTAGAGAAAACATAGCCATGATATAACATCTCATGAATAAGTCACTATCTCTTACAGTTTTAAATGTTTTATTAATATTTAAAAAAGAAAGAACAAGAAAACATTTACAATTGTGAGTCTATTCCTAACAGGATGAAAACATTTTCAGAA